GATACGGCCTTAGATGTTGACCGAAAGATGAATCTATGGATGAGGGGAGGAGCCGAGGGAAGTAGACCAATGATGATAAGTATTTTGCCGTTGTTTATCTCTTTGCTAATTGAATATTATTTATCTAGGAAGGGATATCGATCGATCTTTTTACAAATATAATAAGGGTCTATACCTTGGATGTCAACACCAATACTATCATTTGTCAAGAGATTCTTAATTGTACCTCGGCTACACAGATTCCTTCACCACTTCTTCCCGGACTTGTGTTGAGTATGCAATACGTCCTCTGATGGTAAACATATCTCTGCCGTAATTATTGCATTTAGTATTGCTTGATCTAATAACATGCCTTTTTTACTGCAATTTGCTGTTCGAAATCTAGACCTTTCGGGTCAAGCTCTATCATAAATCATCACCTTGCGTTATTCTATGTGTTCGGGTTTAGAATGGGAAAAGATATAAAGCATTGCAAATTTGTTCCATGTTATACGTTAAATCAAACTGTGACATCCAGATTATCAAAATAGATTTGTTACTATTACAAACTATATTCTGGAAGGTAGGTTTTACCACGAATATAGTTTATAATAAGTTTTGAGAGTGAAGACTGAATTATTTATAAAGGTAAAGGGGATTACAATTATTCTAAAGGTTTTCTAGTGCCAATACTTATGAGTATTGTATTAACACAAGATAAAAATGAAATAAAACAAAATATAAAACAAAGTTGTGATCATGAAAACTAAACTAAGGGTAGATATCAAAAACTAAAGTAACAAATACTATAACTAAAACAAAAGATTTAGCATGTTGACTAAATTCTCTAACAGTATCTTTTTAACTGTTAGATAAACAAAGGGTATATATCAAAACAAAATAAAGCTTTTATACGTGAAAAAACTTACAAGAATCTTTTAAATTAAATAAATATATTTGGCTTATTTTAAGTAGAGTATTCACTATCTAAGTTTTTTAGGCAAGAAAAACTTGTAAATAATCAGAATATAATCTATTACAATAGAAGAGGTAAATGAAAGCAAGTTATCAAGGCAAAAATCAAAGAAAAATTACAAGATAAGTATAATTCAAGTATTTTCAAAAATAATTGAATTATTGCTATTCAAGTATGTTTATTCCAGGACTCAGAGCAGAGATATTTATACATCTTTGAGATTTTACAAGTTTCTATCTAAACTTGTTTACTATTCTAGATTATAATTACAAATCTTGAGACAAAAGATCAATTAAAAGAACAAGTAAAAATAAAAAGATAAGATATATATAGTAAGTTAAATGATAATATAAATGATGAAATAAAATAAAAAGATATGATATATGTTCTAAAAAGAAAAAGATAATAATAAAAATAAGTAAAATTTGTTACTAAATCATTTCTAAAGCATTTCTAAATCATTGTTGAACCATTTGTGAACTGTTGTTGATTTTGGAACTAATTATTCATTGAGAATTTTAAAGCATTGCAAAAATATTACAAGAATATTACAAAAATATTGTTGAATCATAATTGAATTCATAACTAATACATCAATTATATTATTTAAAATCACATATCTCCTAAAGATCAATTGATTGGATGAATTTTTCAAGTTTAAAAAATTATAAAATTAAAAAAATTTATGTTATTATGATAATATTATACTATTTAAAATGATTTATCTTGTCTTGTTCAATTGTAATATATGTTTTATTATATAAATCCCTCAGATTTTTGGCAGCTTATCTATTAATTACCTATTAATTCGAAGTTTTGAATAAATATACTTTCTATATAAAATAATATCAAATATTCAATCAAAAATCAATTTGTTACAAGAATTAAATTTAAAGTTCTTGACTGAGATTTCTGAACTTAGAAAGAAGAATACTAAAGTTAAGACTAAATATAATGAGACTATAGGTGAGATTGCTGAGATCAAGATTGAAAATATTGAAGTTAAAGCTAAAAATACAAAATTAAGATAAGTCTAAATAAACATGAAATCAGATTTATGAATCTAAAGCAGAGTAATAAAGAAAAGACCAATCTCATTGTTAAATTAGATAATAATACAGTAGTTGTTATAAATATTCAGAATTTTTAATATAATGCATAGAATAATGAAAAATTATCAAAATTATCTGATAATTTAGACACATCTTCTTTATAATCTGTAATACAAGTTTGATTTAAATATTTTATAGACTTGTTATCAATTATTATCAATTATTA